GTTTTATCATTGTGACAGTAGGTTGCTTGTAGAAGGATGTTCTCAGGGAATCTTGATGTCCAGGTAGTGGGAGGTTCTTGATTTGGCACGCGAAGAATTCTGGCAAGGGGCAGAACTACCTTGGGTTAGAAATCCAACAAAAGGTTTTAATTGGTTTTAAGGTTTCAGCTTGTTTAGTTTCTAGATTGGATTTTTTTTTTGAGTTAAATACATCAGAGATCCATTAACTTATGAGGAAGTTTCAGTTAGGTCCATTAACTTTTAAAGTGGCTTTTTGGGTTCATAAACTTTTAAAATAGTTCACTGCAGTCCATACCTATTTATTTAACCATAAATTCAAAACACGTTTGTAGAAAACCCCTTCCCACACGCATGCAGGTGCATGCATGGCTCTCTGCACACGTGCCCTAGGCGGACGTCGCGCTCACCGGCGTAGGGCGGACAAGGCGGACGTGAGGTCGACGCGAGGCACGTCGCTTCGTCTCCGAGCTCCAAGCAAGATGCAGGAGCGGGGGGCGCGGACGCTGACAAGCAAGGCGAGGCCGTGGTAGAGGCATCTAGCTCTTGTTTAGTTCCTCCAAACTCTTGAAAAGTGCACTATGCAAAAAGAAGATTCACCGTCACATCAAACTTGCGGTACATGCAAGGAGTACTAAATGTAGACGAAATTAAAAACTAATTACACAGTTTGCTTTAACTTTACGATACAAATCTTTTGAGCCTAATTAATCAATGTTTAAACAATAATTTATAAATACAAACGAAATGCTACAGTACGTAATCTTCGCTATGCAAAATTTGCCTAGCGGCTGGCGGGGACGGGGGGCAGCAGCAAGGGCGGTGTGTGGCTCTACTCCGGCCTTGGGCGGCGCCAGATCGCGCAAGATAGGCGGTACCGGCGACAGTAGCGGGCCGCGGGCACGAGGCACGGACAGGTCGTGTGCAACCGGTGGCGGCGGCGAGCAGCTGCTTCGGCAAATCGGCAGGCGGCCGAGGCGGGCAGCTTTGGCGGGCGCCACGCAGCAGGCGGCGGGCAGTACGGAGGGAGCACAGTACAGGAGCAGCTCCACCGGCCTATGGAGCGTGCCTAGCAAGCCTACTGCACCCTCGGCTGACTATCATGAATGGGCGGGCGAGGGCGCAAAGGAGATGGTGGTGGAGTATTTTAGCCCGTGTTTAGATGGGGAAAAATTAAAAATTTTGGTTATTGTAGCACTTTCGTTTTTATTTGGTAATTAGTGCTCAATCATGGACTAATTAGGCTCAAAACGTTCGTCTCGCAATTTCCAACCAAACTATGCAATTAGTTTTTTTCGTCTATATTTAATACTTTATACACGTATTGCAAGATTCGATGTGATAGAGAGCATTTTTGGAGAAAACTTTTCACGAACTAAAACTAGGGTGAGCAGCGGGGGCAGTGACGCAGTGGCATTTTACTGCGCCTGTGCCTGCTGTGCGCTCACCGGTCACAGGCCCATGCCTATATCCACCTCCGCTCCTCCTTCCTCTCCGTCTCTCCCCTCCAGCATTGCGGTAGAGAGGGAAGCCGCAAGAGGGAGAAGGGCGAGGACGGGAAGGGAACAGCAACGGAGCAGCTGATCAGGTGGGGTGGGACGACGTCTCTGCTTTTCTTGACAGTTTTCTTGCTCGCAATCGCAAGGTGGCGATGAGAGATTCCTCCTCATCCGGCTTTATCTCCCAGTTGCCGTTCGCCTTGTCCTCTTGCGCCGCCTTGTTCTCGTGCTGGTCCTGGAGTTTCCGGCGCTTCTTGGCTCGTTGGCTGGCACTGATTTTTGGCGTTTCGCGGTTTAGATTTTCGCTTCGCTTCGCCTCACGAATTTTTTTTAATTTTAACATTTTTTTGAAAACTAATTTTAAATCTAACACAGTCAATAATTTTTTAAACTATCACTTTTAGTCGCATATATTGTTCTGGCGCGGTCAAATGTTTATGCCGTGTCATATATAGCGGGCTAACATGCCGACGACCAGAACCGCTGACGTGACAAGGCTATGCTGCGTCACCGATGCCGCGCTATGTTGCGTGGCGCGGCAGAGGCAGGTAAATACCGTCCGCGGCCGACCTACCTCTGAACGGCCGAACAAGATCCCCCGCTACGGCGCCATCCACTCGCTCCGCGTCCCCGCGTCAGTGCCGGACCGCCTCCTGGTCGTGGGGGAGGAGGAGCAGCAGCCGGAGGAGGACGAGGACGAGGAGGAAGGCAAGGACGACGCGGAGGAGCGCCCCGCCGTGTTCGTCCTGTTCGTGCGCGCGCGCGGCGCGGCCACCGCCGTCTCGGTCGCGTGTGTGAGGGCGAACGCCAGGGCGTGGCCGCAGTACAAGTGCGTGCTATGGGCGAAGGCGCCCGCGCCGCGGGGCGCCGCGGGCCGCGCGGGTCCTCGCCTGTGCATGGAGACGGACGTGCCGAGTTGCGCGGCGCCCGGCCAGGCCGTGACGGAGGACGCCATGTGGCTGGGCGTGTCGCCGGTGATGATGCTCGGAGCGTCCAGGGAGATCCACCTCGTCGTTCTCATTGATAAGCTCTGATCGCCTCGGGGCTGCGCTGCTTGCCCATCTCCACTGTCGCCGACGGGATCCGTTCATCCATCCCTAGTTCAATCGTACGCTAGATTGTGGGTTTGTAAGCAAACGTATGCGGATCGATCTCGCTACTGAACTTGGTTCGGCTATGGAGTAGTAGCTCCAAGCAAAGTCATGAATTCTTTACCCCAGGTTTTAACCTGTCAGTATATTTCCCATCCTGTCTAAAATCTTTTGGTATGATTCAGGTTCCGTTTAGATCAAAAATATTTGGATTTTGGCTCACAGTATTTGTTTTTTTTCCTAAAATCTAATTTGGACTAATTATTTGATTCAGTTTTTTTTAAATTCATATTTAGGACTCCATGCAAAAATGGGAGATCTTTGCAGTAAAAATTTTTTTAAACATGTCAGTGTAGGTGCAAAAAATGGGAGATTTTATGTCCAAAGAAACGAAAAATCTTAATAAGGAGAATGGACCAGTTAAAATAGTTAGGTAAAATAAATCGAACCATACATTAGTTTGTAGGTTTATTTCAATATAGACCAAACTTACAATGAGTAGTTTTAACTTTTTTAATTATAAATTATAAAAAAACAACAGGAAGAGAAAGAAATCGTCAATGGGCTTGATGTTCATTCAATTGCGGAGCCGAACGAGGTATGTCCAAATCTGTCAACTCCCACTCCCAGCGGGTGCCAGTGCAATGCAATGCAGCGCAGCAGCAGCAGCAGCGTCACCAAGCAAAGGGAGGAACAGGAGTACAGACACCAGATTTTCGGTCCGTCCGCGTGTCCTTTAGATCCGATTTGATTCGTTTATTTTTTTTAAGCGGACATAATATTTTTCTCTTATAAATTTTTTAATTTCTCCGAACCATCCGTATTCCTTCGGAACTCAGACGAGCGAATAGGCCCTTCGTAAGAGATTTTAGGGCCTCGTTTACATTGCAAATTTTTGCAATCTGGACACTGTAGCACGTTTTATTTGTATTTGACAAACTTTGTCCGATCATAGACTAACTAGACTCAAAAGATTTGTCTCGTAATTTACAACCAAACTGTGTAATTAGTTATTTTTTTTATCTACATTTAATGTTCCATATATACGTTTAAAAATTAATGTGATGAAAAAAAAATAAAAAAACTTAAAATTTTGAAGCAATCTAAACCAGACTCAGAATTGAATTGAAGGGTCGGCCCTTCCCCGTGCTGCCATGCATCCTTGGACACGCCAGGCAAAAGCGTGGCGCCCTGGGTGAACGTGATGAACCGGTGACCACAAGTACTGCACCGTCAGGGTCAGGCAGAGGCAGGCCGTCGCCCGTCTCCGGTTATCGGTGCCTGAACCCAATAGGGCTAGGGCCACAGTAATTGGGCCCTAGGAGACACGACAGGCCACAAGACGTGAGACGAAACGGGCTCGCGCACCAAAGCCTGTGCCGATGGACGCTGACTGTCGGTGCACTGTAGCACGTTGTCTGTGGACGCCATACCCTGGCCTCCGCTCTCTGCTCTGCATTCCCATTGCACGTCTCACTTTGGGCCGCGTTTAGTTCGGCCGATTCGGCGCCGGCCGAATCACTCTAGATAACTGTAGCTACAGTGTCGCTTTGCTTTTATTTGATAATAATTGTCTCAACGTTGACTAATTATGGTTAAAACGTTTGTCTCATAAAGTACAACTAAACTGTACAATTAGTTTTTGATTTTGCATTTAGTACTCCATGCATATCGTAAATTTGATGTGACGGAGAATCTTCTTTTTGTATAGTGCCAAATTCTAAAAATAGGGGAACTAAACATGGCTTTGGTGGAAATTGGACACCTGTTTGAGACAGTACTTTCAATCTCCCTGCCAAGTTTTGAGAGAGAGAAAGAAGAAGATTTCAATTCCGGCTCGAAATCAACCGTGCTACGCAGGCCCCACGAGATAAATCAGGAGGAAGAAGAGCTGAGAAGCCTCTGATAGATATGGCAAGAGCACTGGATACAATAGATCTCGGTTGGTTTAAGGATAAGCTAGTTTATGCGCCAAGCCGTTATCCAGTTATCCAGCATGCTGCAACTGTGCTCAATGTTTTGTTTAGGCCTTGTTTAGATTGTAAATTTTTATAACCTGAATCTGTAGCATATTTTATTTGTATTTGACAAACTTTGTCCGATCATGGACTAACTAGACTTAAAAGATCCGTTTCGTGATTTACAACCAAACTATGTAATTAATTATTTTTTTACTTATATTTAATGCTCTATATATACGTCTAAAAATTGATGTGACGAAAGAAAGTGAAAAAATTTAAAATTTAAAGATGATCTAAATAAGTCCTTAGTTCTAGTGCGTTAGCATTAGCTGGCACTAGTATCTGATTGTGACCGGACAGTGGACGCCCCCAGGCAGCAGCACCAGCGAGTCCGGACTACCCGGCGCGGCGAGGGCAGCGTGACTGCCGAGATGGTGCAACTAGTCACATCACCATGCGTTTGCTAGTGGCTCTGGCAGCATTATGGCGCGCGTTTAGTCGCAGGAAGTTAGAATTTGAAGACACTGTAGTATGTTTGTTTTTATTTGGTAATTAGTATTTAAATATGAACTAATTAGGTTTAAAATGTTCGTTTTATAATTTTTCACTAAATTGTGCAATTAGTTTTTTTCGTCTATATTTAATGCTTTATATATAGATCGCAAACATTTGATGTGACAGATATTGTAGCAACTTTTTAGAATTTGAGGTTCAACTAAACACCGCAGGAGTGGCTCTACCGCGCCACATATTATGACGCGGCAGCCCTTGCCACATCATTGGTCATCGATTTCGGTCGTCGTTGTGTTAGCCTGCTGTCGTGCCACCGTGCATGATGCGATATAGGCATTTGACCGCGCTAGGACAATAGACGCGGTCAAAAGTGTTAGTTTTAAAAAAAACCGGTAGTATTGGATTTAAAATTAGTTTTCAAAAAATATTAAAATTAAAAAATAATTCCCTCTCGGTGCCCCCTGATTATTCTGGAGGACGGGCCGGGGCCGGACTGATCTCTGTTCCGCTCGCGTGCTCTCCAGGAGCTGACGCACGCGCGCGAGAATGCTGCTCAGGAGGGTGGCGGCGGACGATGGCTCCGGCGCCCGCTCGACCTCAGGGCGCCCTTCGCCAAGCTCGGCGGCTCGTTGCTCCGCTCGCCGCGCTCGCCCAGGACCAGGAGCCGGGACTCGCACCGCCTCGGCCTCGGCGGCCTCGTCGACGACGACGCCCTCGCCGAACCCGCCGCGGCCTCCAACAACCGCCTGTTCGGGCCCCAGGCGCGGCAGCCGTTCAAGCTGCCGCAACGCCTCGCCAAGCCCCTCATCACCACCCAGCCGAGAGACTGCGCCCACGCGTCCCCGGAGCACGGGAATGTGGGGACCGCCGCCAGCTGCAAGCCGGTGCCGTGCAGCCGGTCCTACGGGGATGTGAAGTCTGGTCCAGAGGTCACCGTGCCCGGCGGCGCTCCGCCCGGCGCGAGCAGCCACCATGCCGGTCTTGGCAAGTTCCCCGCGCCGGGCTCCCTGCCGTCGTCCATCGGCGGCCCGCGCCGGTACGTCGGGTCCGTGTCCGCGACGGAAGCGGAGCAGTCGGAGGACTACACCTGCATCATCGCGCACGGTCCGAACCCGAAGACCACTCGCATCTTTGGGGACTGCATCTTGGAGCCCTGCACTCTTGGTGATGGCGTGGACGCCATGGAAGTCAAGGAAGGAGCAGAGTCAGCGCCGGTTGGGCCCGCATGGCCACAGCAGCGGCTCGCCAGCGCGCCCGCAGCAGCGACGGTGAGCGCGACGTCCGCCTGGGGCACGTGCGCAGAGAGCCATTCATGCACCTGTATGCGTGTGGGAAGGGTTTTCTATAAATGTGCTTTGAATTTAAGGTTAAATAAATAGGTATAGAATGCAATGAACTATTTTAAAAGTTTATGATCCAAAAAAACACTTTGAAAGTTGATGGACTCAACTGAAACCTCCTCACAAGTTAATGGATCTCTGGTGTATTTAACTTTTTTTTTTTTTTTTGGATGTATAAGTGGCAGGAGCTTTGCCTTTAAGTTCAAGAGAGAAAGAGAGTTCAAAACAGTTTTAGAAACAAAGCACTGGGAACCTCAAGCAGTCCACCCAAAGCGTGACACAGCACATAGCCTGCACTCTCACAGCACGAAGCAAAGAAAATGAACCACAGTCGATGTCTTATTTTGCTTTCAAAGGCACTCACTGTGCTGTTTGGAAACAATTCTCAAAGATCATTCAGCTTCATTCTTTCCAGAGGTTCCACATTACATAGATTGCAGGCCGTTGAAACATTTTGGCATAAGAGGCATAAGTGTACACCAGTCTCGAGCGGTCCATTGCGCATAATTCGAAGACTCCAAGTTGTCTGCCATGAGAATTTTGCCTTGTATTAGCGTCCAAGCAAATAATTTAAATTTGCATTTGTTTTCTATGTGAGCCTTCCAAATTAGGTTTGGTTTGTACCTAAGATAGGAGCCTTCGAATTGTATCTGGTACTCATGCATTGTTAAAATTGTAGTTTTGTGATGTTCAACTTATTCTGTTTCTGTAGTTGGTGGAGCGGGCACAGTTCTGGGTGAATGAATTGGGGTTTATGAATGTGTAAGTTGCCTGACATGTTTCTGTAGTTGGTGGAGCGGGCACAGTTCATCCGAATTCAGAATGTGTAAGTTTGACATCGAATTTACCGGTGCAGTAATGTAACAGCACTTGAAATTAATTATTCTCTTTCCACAGCTGTTTTATGTTTGCAAATGCAACGGTATCTTTTCAGAAAATCATATCGTCGTACCCTGGTCCCTTGTCACTTGTTTCAATACTGGTGAGTGTAGCTGGGTCCTGCATCAGTCCTTTAGTTATATCTGTCAGCTCGGTGATAACTATTCTGATTCAGTGCTTTGTTATTTCCTGATGTTATGGAAATGGAAGTGAGATTTCAGTGTCTATTTGCTGGTTTTGTAGTGTCCTGATCCACACTTCAAAAAGAGACATCACAAAAGAAGAGTTCTGCAGCAACCGTTGGTCGATTCAATCACAAAAAATGTCTGTTTAGGCGGACGGGTATGGCAATTCTGTATTCCAAGCTTTGTCTTTCTAATCTCAAAGGCATGAACCATTTACTTCCAAATGCTGTAATAATCATTGCTCTACTCATTGCATGGCGATAGTTAAATCAAGATAACCTAATGCATTCGTGCCATACATTTTAATTTTGAACTAAGGCCAGTTTTCGTCATGTACTTCATTTTAGTTTTTGCTGTTGTGATCTCCCATGTGTCTACCATGTCTGCACACATGTCCTTCATTTCTTCAAGCTAACATCTCAGTGTATTGATACTAGGTTTTCATACAATCAGATGTACTAGAAGTAGCTGTAGACATGAGAGAAAGGTTTGATGGGTACTCTGGTATTTTGGCACATGTTAATTATGTCGATCAAGATCTTCAGTGTGACCATGTAGGATGGCTTCTGGAACGACCCAATGGGAATCCGGACAGAGCGAGAAATCCATGCAGAGCTTGAAGGAGCAACCATATACAGGAGGATGTACCAAAAGATTAGAGATGCTTCTTAGTAACTGTTCATCAGCTACACAGGTTGTCCAAGCAGTAAGGTTTTTCAAGAATGTGCATTGCATGTATTTCATTAAGAGAAGTTGGGAAAAAACAAAGCATCCAAGTACAAAGCCTGCCGAACCAAAACAAAGATAAGTCCAAGCAGTGCATCACAAGTTGCCTTCACTACATCGAGCTGCATTACATTTCTGACAGTGCACTGTGCACATCTCATCTTTTTTTTCACCCGATGCAATGAGTTAGCCAATGCTTGATGAAGATGACTCTGACAAGGCTGTTCATTTGTTACGTCAAAGCATACCTATGATGTTTAGCATCTACTGGGGTATTTTATTCTGTCAAGAATTCAGGTCTGGAATTGCTCATCTATGGGTATGCAGACAATTTGTAGAGGCAATCCAGCTGAGGCTACTCGATGTACACTAGGATTGTTCAAACTTGGTTCACTCTGGACACTGTTTTGTACCTTGTATTTAGTATAGGAAAGGAAAGGACGCCAACCATTCCACATTAACTTTGTTTGTTTTGAGATGCAGATATGTTTTGGTTCAAAACAAGAATTGTAGAGCCGTTTGTTTCTGTTGTTGCAAGTTGCAACTACATGGGCGCGGGAGGACATTTTTGCCAGTGAAGCTGTTCCCCTCCAAGCTAATTACAAGAAGTGTGGATAACTGTTTGTTCCATTGGTTCCACGCTAGATGGTTCAAAAGTTCTTGTAATTTTTTGTGCATGGCTTGGATGTTTGCCTCTGATTCAGGATGGTTGAACCTTCTCTTTGATTCAGTTCATTTGACTTTTGTGGGCAAATTACTATTCAAGATTGCATAGTTTGGTCAGATAATTTTATGCAAAATGCAGTTCATGATAACTTATGCGTGCTAGCATTTCACATTCTCACAAGCTCCATTTTCTAGTCTTATAAGTGAGCCGGTCTTTTTTTTACCCTTGTAGCTTACTCCCTCTGTCCCAATATAATTGATGTTTTATTGTTTTAAGTTTGCCTTAAGTCAAGTCATTTTAAGTTTGATCAAATTTGTAGAAAAGAATATTGATATTTACGACATCAAATATAAAAATATATTTGCTACTAAGAAGCGCTCGTTGTTCCATCCTCCTCGGCGAGGGGCAGAGCGTTGTCAAGATCTGACTTTGGGCTCATCATGTCCACGGACGAGCGCCCCCCCACCCCATACGAGCCGGCCACCACGCTGTGGTACTGGTACCAGGCGCGAGCGCCCCCCATAGGAGCCGGCCGGCACGGTGTGGTACCAGGCGCCACGCGCCAGAGATGTTGCTGGAGAAGCCCGACTGCGATGCGCAGGTCTATGTCTGGTCCCTTGGCTGCGTCAGCGTCATGGTGGAGCTCATCGATAACGGGAGGCCTCTGTTCCCACAAATACGGATAACTCTGTGCGATCTTCGATGTGCTCGGCGTCCCTGACGACAGCACGTAACCGTGGTTCGCGTCCACATCATTTGCCACCCAGGTGATGCCGGAACTGGACATGCAGCGGTGCAGCCTCCTGCGAGATCTATTCCCCGAGACGGAAGGATTCGAGGTCCTCAGTGGCCTGCTCACATGCAACCCCAAGCAAGGCCGCACGCTCAAGCACTCATGGTTCGCCAAGGTCGACGGTCAAGAAATAGAAGCTTGCGTCGACGTTGCCCAAGAGACTGCGTAGACAGAGGTTGCATGCTGTGTGCGTGACTTAGATTTCCGATCAAGTATCATGTAAAATTAGTCTGTTGTTGTGAACAGAGCTTAATTAAGCTCCTGTAATGTTTGTGAGCACCGTGGTGATGTAAATTGCAATGTTTCAATTGATGAACCATTTTCGGCTGTGCTTTTCAATGAGTTTGATTGGCCTGTCTCTGAATTTTGGTACGCCAGAGAATCGACTATGAATACTGGTTTAAGTCACATGAACAGCAATGCTACACTATGATTGCAACGTGTAACACGCCAGGATCGAGCAACAGGTTCATGCTACTTTAGGATCAACATTGCGTTCTATGCACATGAATAACTAGGAAACAACATTTGATACAGCTGCACAAACACATGATACATCGGTGCAGTGTCTAAGAAACTGAGGGCGTGTTTGTTTCCCTGGCCCAGGGTGGCTCATGTGGCTGGCCAGAGACCGGCTGGATTGGGACATGCTCATCGCGTGAAACTACTCATGTTTGTTTCTGTGTATGAAGCTAGCCAGACCGAGGACCGGACATTTGTTTGGTAGGCTGCACAAGCAAATACGGTTACTCATGGGTAGAGTTACCCCCTCCTTGCAGAGCACCTGCCACTGAGACATTTGCAGACACCTTAAGGTCACGAACTTCAGCCGGTGACCACTGGCCAATCCAATCCATGGCGCGTCGACCTGCCTAGGCTGACACCGTTCTTGTACCTCAGCCTCACCTCCATGCTCACACCGGCGCCGGAGAGAGAGAGTAGAGACAGAGGAAGAGAAGAGAACGGAGATGGAGGGGAGGGAGCACGTCGTCGTCATCCACAGCTGTGCCCAGGCACCAGGTCGGCGTCGTGGATGGTGCTGGCCGGCCGGCTAGAGCGGCCGTGGAGCCCGTGCCTACGGCCTGCGCAACAGCGTGGCCCGCGCCCGCGGCTTGCTCCCCAGCGTCAGCCTGCGCGGCGGCGGCGCCCGCGGCTGCTCGCCCGAGGCGGCCTACGGTGCGGCGTCGGACCTCGCGTCAGCGCCGCTCCTCCGCAACAGCTCCGACTCGGAGGCGTCGCTGTCGCTAGCGTCCTGCCGCTTCTCGCTCTCGTCCTCATCGGCCTCGTCCGGGCACGGCCACGACGACGTGCCCCGCCTCTTGCTCGACTCCGCCGCCGACCCCAACCCGCCCGGCATCCGCCTGGTCCGTCGCTCCTCCCACTCCCACCACCGCCACTCCACCTCCTCCACCCGCGCCGGGCGCCGCGGCCTGCAAGGCAGCATGGGCCGCGCCCGCGGCGGCAGCGGCCTGCTCCCCGGCGGCGGCCTACGTGGCAGCAGCGCCCCGCGCCGGGGGCCTGCAGGATAGCGGGGCCACGCCCGTGGCTTGCGTGGCAGCGACCGCGTGGTTGGCGAGCTCCTGGAGAAGATGGGGAGGAGGTGAGAGCAGGGAGGTGATGGAATCACACACCCGGGGGCTCAATCGCGCCCGCTCGGGCCGAGCCCAGCAGAAAAAAAAAAAAAAATCGTTCCCCCCAGGCCTGGCCAAGGGCTGCTTCAGGGAGCGTGCGGGGCTGGCTCCCAAGGCCGTCCAGGCAATCAAACAACCCAAGTTGCAGCCCAGGGCGCAGTGGCCCAATTGGTACAGGTAAACAAACGCACCCTGATGCTCTAGACAAAATATACAGATATATATAATCTAAAGCATCGATGAAAACTTTGCACAGGGAATCGAGGCACGGAAACCTCGATTAAAAGGGCCTCTTCGTACATGGGGACTCTCAATATACAAACATATACTACTCGAAGAACTACACCTACAATATCCACTCCTCAAGTCCATAATAATTGATAATACACAGCACTAGATTATGCATGAGACCTGAAACAATTGGAGAAATCACGATATATTAGAAATGAATGTTACAGGTGTGAAGAGGAAAATGACATACAAATGATGGATGCTGAGGAGAAATTAGCACTTTGATAACCGGGGTATCCTTGATTTTCCCTTCTCAGTTGGAAATTTCCAGATGATATCATCTAATTTGCTGCAGTAGTTATTTACGAACTGTGATATGAGGAAAGGTGCAGAGTTAGCTGAGAATGTCCCCGGATCAAAAGTAATATTAAATAGGTCAACTTGTACTTTTACAATTTTATTACAAGTTAATCCGTGCAACAAGCATCAGCATCACACCATTACAGGCATTACTGTCCAATGTAAATTTGTCCCTTTGGATGTATCAGGTTGCACAGAGTTTTAGGTAATATAATAATCAGTTGCAATCATATGAAAAGAGTGAGAAGTGCAAAAGAAATGCACTGACCGTGTTATATTCTGAAGTATCTCCTGCTGCTCTTTGTAGTTCTACCATGAAGATTGATGGAGCAACTTCAAAAACCTAAAACCGTAGAAAATGGGGAAAATGGGCGTAAGGTATACAAACATAGAGTTCAAACAAGAAATATGCCTGAGCACAAAGAGAGGGCAAGACTCACTTCAACCATAACTGAGAGATGACTAGTCTTATCGGCATTCAGACCTTCCACCCTCATCTGAATATTATAGCAAAGCAATTAGTGAAAAAGGAAACAAAATTCCACAGTAGCACCAACTGACTAGCTGCCAAAAATAACGTGTAACATGATAATCTCAAAAGAAAATTCTCCTGATAAAATCAAAACAAGATACAACTGACCAAATAATGGACAATAACCTTGCCTGTCAAGGTCCAATGCCACAAGATTGGCATGTCAAGGGAAAGCAAACCTTACCTTATAATTGCGAATGTGTGTCTTAAACCCCATTGATTGCGCAACAACCTCCATGCTTGACAAGATGACCTTTGCTGGATTGCGTGATAAGAATCTATTTCGAAGCTTGTCGTAGTCCTGTAGGGCAAGCAATTATTAAGTCTGACAAGAAAAAAACACAAAAGTATATTATAAAATGTCTGCAGCAATAACCATGGCATATATAGAATCACCAGCTTAAAATGCTCATAAAAGTGAGTACCCAGTTCTTGAATGCTGAGTTACACAAATGCTGTCAGAGTGGTGCTGCCTCGGGTGCAAGACTATCTTAATAGCATTTGCTCGCCCAGGCAGAAATAGTTATTCTTTTGGACACACATGCAATCAAATTTTTGAATCTTTGACAATCAATATCTTTTTAAAGATTTGGGCAGGTAACATGATGAGGCAGTGAACTAGCAAAGACATATTTCTTGCTATTGGTAATGAGCTATCACTGTTCAACTTTTTCACCAACAATTAAATATTAATTTGAAATAAATTATAATTGGTGCTATCACTATAACACAAGAGTGCAGAAGATATAACTCGACTTACATTAGGTCCTCACTTTTCACTTTACTAACTTGAAGCTACCAGATTTCCATGTTTACACAGCACAAATGCATATAGTAAGAGAACAAAACATATCTGAGACTTTATATTACAATATTTCTGTCAAAACATTAAGCAGCATAAAACTGCTAGCATCCTACCTGTCTGCGATCAAAGAGAGCTGCAAGATTCAATCCTTGCGAAAGAATGATTAGGTCAAATGCATTAAGTGTCAGAGGACCTGATTCATCTTCAAAAGCATCCTCAGTATCATCCTGAAATCACATAAAACAAATTGGCAAAAAGAAACAATAAATATATAATAATACGCACAAAGTACACTAGAGTTAACCACAAAACACTGCTTTATTATAGGTTTAGAAAGTAGAACAATGGAACACAATTCATCAGTAATGTCAGTTATCACCCTCACCCATATCTATTTCAATTAGTAATTTCTTCAATACAAAACAAAGGGAAAAAAATGACATCACAAGTTCTGAAAGGTACCTAATGTAGGTCAGGAAGACAGTGGCAAAACAGACAGGGAACATTACAATCAAATACTTGCTACTACAAAGTTTTGCAATCCCTTGCTATCAATGTCCCAATGACACATTTTGCCCACCTGTGTCAGTGACAATGGCAAACAAGGGATTGGGCAAAAATACAATGTCCGGAAAGAAATTTATATAATTAACAATGTGCAAGGTGATGGCAAACACAATACATGCTCAGATAGAGTAGGAGTTTTTTTTTCCTACATAGGATCTTTTTGTTTCTTGAAGTGGCTGGGTGTTCCATTTGGCTGCTATGAGGGGTAGAGAGCTATTAATTGTGTAAATATGTATGGAACTATTTTTTAATCAAACACGCAGGAGAGTTGCGTATCATTTATATTAAGAAGAAAAAAGGGGATGAGCCCTCACAAACACACACCAACACCACAAAAACCATGCTACTAACAATCCGACTCGCCTATGACAAAGGATGAAACGACCCAACCAAAACAAACACACTACACCAGCACAAAGGCGAGGAGGTAGGAGATACCTCTAGCCCTGGACAAACCCAAAAAAGTAACTCCTCCCTAGCCAGCAGTAAGGCTCTAGCCAAGTCTGGAGAAAAACAATCAAACACACACTTATTATGATGAATCCACAAGGTCCCAAGCACCAAGGAAGACAAGGGAGTTGAGGCCTTAGAGCCTTGTTTTGAGATGCTATTCTAAACTACAATTACCCCATGGTAAACATATGAAGATGCCATTCATGCATTACTTTCTCGAATTACTTAGCTCATGAACTCAAAATTATGACTGCGTCCCCAGAATAAGGCAACTTAAACTTAGAATTTAGAAATGAGTGGGAAGGGAGGGAGCTGACATTACAGATGGTAGAACTATCACACATATTTGCTAATGAGATACAGAAAGAAAAGAAAGAAGACTATTTAGATAATATCAGATTAACGGTAGCTGGACGTTGCATAAAAATTTTTTCCAGGATTTCAACTAAAACAATTTGCCATAAAATGCCAGGTATTCCTTTTTTCTAACTCCAAGCATAACATCATACAAACCGCTACAGTCTCATAAGAATATACATATGAAAAGAGGTTCTATAACACTTCTTGATATTAGAGTACAAGTACTGAATGAACTCAAGGGTTTCAAGGCTTATATTTTTTGCCAAGCAAAGATGGAGTTGTTAAGGTATAATAGTCAAAGGGCATTAGTGTAATCTCCCTAGTCTAGGGTTTCTCTCATGTACTCTAGATATTGTCCTGTTAAGGTATAATAGTCAAAGGGCATTAGTGTAATCTCCCTAGACTCCCAATCTCCCTAGACTAGGCAGTCTAGGGAGATTACACTAATGCCCTTTGACTATTATACCTTAACAGGAGTAAAGTGGTATTATTGGATGGGTAAGATTGCTGAAACTAAGCACAAATTGTCTCAAACTAAGTTGTTTCCCTTTCAAGGTTATATACCATCTCCTTTAACAATATGTTGTGACAGGTAAGATGGCCTGGGGGCCAGCATGTGGCTAATGTATTTTGGTCTTTTAACTCAATAATTGTGAATGAATACGAAAAAATCTGTCTGATTGATTACAGTGTTGTCTAACAATTCTCTATGTCTATGACTTAATAAAGTACATAAGTACACAAAACTCAAGAAAGCACTGGTGCATAAGGACAAATATTTTTTGAGTATCCACAATCACACAGCTTTTTCTTATGAGTAGGGTTCACAAATGGAACATTTTGCCAGGGTTTTACTGGAACCAAGTGATGAAGATTTAAGTGCATTGCATACTATGTCTAAATGCAACATTTCCCTGCCAAATGAATTCGAGGAGAAGGTCTATACCTCAGGATCATCAAAAGCTGCATTGACATCATCGAGATTGACTTCCTCATTTTCTATTTCTTTGATAGGTTCATAATTCTTCTGAAACCATTCATCGTTTCTGATCTCTTCTATCCTGATTCGCTGTTCCATGTCAGAAAACAGATATGATCAACAAAACACCAGATATTGTAGCAACGATCAAACATTTCATGTCCTTGTATAGTTGTACGCTATATGGAAGATCGTTTATGTCCATTTAACTTATATTTGTCTTGTTAAGTGCCTCCCCTCCCCTATCAGTTATTGTAAATGAATCCAGGAAAAAGAACAATAACATAGTGGAATCAAATAAAGCAATAAAAATTAACAAAGTCAAGACGACCTGATGAACTAGGTCATTTGCTTCCAAATGGAACTGGTATGCCTACTTATCATGCCTGGTGGCACAAAGCCTTCTGAAGCAATGTAGAGTAATATATGCTGTAGTGCCCATATAAGTCCTATTTCTGCTATAATAGGGTATACATTCCACGCATGGTTACATACTTATAATCACAATACATCGGTCTTCATATCATGGACTATCATAAAAAAATTAAGAAGAAGGCTTCTATAAGACAGGTCATCCAACTCCATTTACAAAGATAAGAAACCAGCAAGTAACAAGCTTGTAATTCCACCCATTAAATGGTATATGCCGATCAGATCAAGAACATTACTAAAAATACAAGAATTAGGTTAGATTCCTGTCTGGGATATTAGCCTATTACCAAGTACATAAATTCATATCGTTAATGATGAAAACTCCTATAACTTTCCAGCTTGAATAAAATTGGCAAGATGTGACATAGCAAACAGTAGTTATGCTTGTACTTGTTGAGCAGGCCTTATGGCATCGTGCTAACATGTCACAAACTCACAATTATAACCTTAACAAAGAAGTTCTTAGTATCTGCAGGGATATATCAGAGCACTGTGCTGAGGAAAGTTAACAGCATAATAATATGCCCTATGTTATGATAAGGTACAGCTCATAGCAAGTTTCTTCCATCTGAATATTGTCGAGCTTAACTTACCGTCTCTGGATTTGGGTCAAGAATTCTACGAATCAGTGATTTTGCACCACCTGAAAACCAGGCTGGGAATGAATATTCTGCACTCTCGATCTGCATTAAGAAAAGAAGGCAGCAAGATATAGAAATTCCATTCCACAAGAACAAATCTAAGATAAAATTTCTTGTTAAAACCACCAGTAAATATATATGGAATTAAATACAAAGGGTGAAAGTAACAAATAGCCATATACAGCTCAGCTGCAAAAGGCAATAAGAATCACTCTTATACAAACATCTCTTCTAAAGGGCCAATGCTTATTTTCCTTTGAATTTAAACAAGAGACAAGTTACAAAGCAAAGTTCGGAGTTCATGTATGCTAAGTTGTAGTTGTGCTACTACCTCCCTCTTCTCTATTTCATAAGTAGTGAGTGTCAAACCAATGTTGGATCTGTAGCATTAACAAAAGAATGTATATACTTCCTTTTTCTAGTACCTAATCTCAAAAGAGTTACTGGCTTGTAGTTAAGAGCCAAACCTTTCCATAAAGGGTAGTCAAGTCCACTTCATCAAATGGAAGATAACCTGCTAACAATACATATAAAATAACTCCACATGACCATGTATCAGCAAGCGCGCCATTATATCCCTTATGACTGAGAACCTGGGCCAGTGAACATGTGGGCACAGTAAGCACAATATTTGTCATGTAAAGGAAGCTGAATTTATCATGAAAAGAATAGATAGTTATTGGTTATCCATATTTGAAAGAGTCTAGTTTGCAGTAAAGAGATATTTGTATTGAGTATAAGTTAGCAAATCTACAAGTTCTCTACACAATCATTAACAGAACAGAAAAATTGTGATCTCCTTTATTTGGACAGTTAGATACAGGCATGGCTTTCGTTATTTCAATGAGCCATCACTAACCCCCTACCCGCAGGTGATACGATCCACATTAAATAATCATGATACATCAGAAAGCAGAATGACATTTTGTCAGCCTGTGTGCATGTTAAATGCTTATTCAAGTGGCATAATTAACTTTTTTCAAATTGAATAAAGGTTATTCACCATATTAACATTGCGTACCCACATACAAGCACTATAAGTACTAACATCTTAAGACGGAGAAGTTATATCTTAAATCACCACTTTGTTTCAGTGGCAGGTTTAGTAATTCTTAAAAGAACTGAGTGTATGATTCAGGTGTACCTCTGGGGCAACATAGTTCGGGGTCCCACAGGTCGTATGTAGAAGGGAAGATCCCTACAGTTGACCCATTAAGCATCATAAGAAGGGAACAAAAAGAATAAGGTACAATGAAGCTTCACAAAGATACACACCTGAGCAGGCCATGCACTCAGCCCGAAGTCTGAAATTTTAAGATTTCCCTGGGAATCAAGGAGGAGATTTTCGGGCTGCATGCATGTAAAACGAGATTAACAATCCCAAAAATCATGAAATGCATACTCAATCATTTTTTCTATCCAATTGTCACCTTTAAGTCTCGATGGTAGACTCCTTTCTTGTGACAAAAATCAACACCATCAATAAGCTGCTGAAAGTATCTGCGTGCATCTGCTTCACTGAGTCTCCCATGACGAATCTGAAAATCGTATGTTTCAGTGTCATCAGTTTCCTTTTCATGTAAACATATTGTTTGAATTGAACCTAAGTAAGATAAAGTCCAATAGAGCAAGTACGTCTTCAAATTCAAGTCTTTGGATTAGTACATATATATGTAGGAATAACACATTCAGTGGAATTAGAATCAAAACCACACATACAATCCACAATTGATGGACAAAAGGAACATATAGTGACATGTTCATTTTTTGCAAATATAAATTAAAATACAATGGCTCTGAGAGAAATGTGTGTCTCTTCCATGTCCAACGAATTTGCCCTCTTACAGTAAAAGCAAAGGTAGCAATTGAATATCCAAGATGGAATGTGACAGGCATATAATCTAAACAACAAATCCATGGAACTAATATTTATTTTCCTAGATCATATCAAAAAGTCAAGAGTGAAAAGGACAGTAAATAGTTAACCATAGCAGTCTTACAATTTTATCGAATAGCTCGCCACCAGTGATGAACTCCAGAATGATAAATATCTTCTTCCGGCTTGCCAAAACCTGCACGTAACAGAATGGATGACACGGATACTTTAAAAAAAAAGGGCAAGTGATAAGAAAGATGTTAAAGAATGGTTATAAGGAAGAGATAGATAAGCGTGCCTCGTGTAGCCTAACGACATTGGGATGCCTGACAAGCTTCATTATGGATATCTCTCTCTTAATCTGCAAATAAGAATTGTGTGCACGAAGGTAAGTCAGCCTAGGACATCTACCATTCCCAGCTAGCTTGTGCAGCTGTACATCACAAAGTAGAACAGCTATTAATGTTTAGAAAAAGATGCGAAAGAAGCAGGCATGGTAGAACAGTTTGTGAAGCATCGATCACACCCTTTGAAAGCGAGGAGAAATCCGTCCACAGAAACGGCATAGCAAGGATTAAAATCCACAACATGAAGCTACCGAGCATGGAATCAGTGAGAAAAGAAATGGTTCCGCGAGCCATCCCAACAACATTATTTGAGGGGGGAAGAAAAACGAGGGCCAGCTCGGTCACCTGTTCGGCCATCTTGTGCTTGAGGATGGAGGAGCGGTCGAGCACCTTCATGGCGACGCTCTCCCCGGTCTCGGTGTTCTGCGCGAACTTGACCTTGGCGAAGGTGCCTTCCCCGATGGTGCGTCCCACCTCGTACTTGCCCACCCGCCGCAGCGCCCCGCCGCCCCCGCCGCCGCCCCCCGCCATCTCCGCAGAGCCGCCTCCCTCCTTTCGATGGCGAAAGAGTCGCGAGCCCTGTGCAGAGTGGAGCCGCGGCTGGGGAGGGGCAGGGGAGCTGCTCAGGTGGCCGACACCACCGTTGATGGGAAGGAGATTTCCGGTAGAGCAAGCCTTGCTTCTTTTTTGAAGGTGAATTGGGGGGAATTTCTGTGGGCAGGCAGGCAGCCGGTGGAGTTTTCTACTGGGAGTTGAAAACTTGAGATGAGATGGCTCAGGAAGGGGAGTGGACCGCAAGGACAGAGGTGTTTCGTGGAGTAGGTGGCTTGGTACGGCCCGCTTCTTTTTGACGTGGGGAGGGAAGGAATTGACTTTTTTATTAATTACTCCATCCGTCTTAAATAGTAAGATGTTTAACTTTTTTTTTTCCTCTCAAGTTTGACCACTCGTCTTATTCAAAAAAAAATTATGCAAATATAGTCAAATTTAAGTCATTCTTGAAGAATTTTTATTAATAAATCAAACCACGACGAAAGAAGTGATATTTTACATAAATTTTTGAATAAAACGAGTGGTCAAACTTGGTGTCAAAAAAGTCAAACGTCTTATAATTTGGGATGGATTGAGTAATTTATAAGACTGCTTCTTTAAGGCTCTGGATCAGGTGGAAACCATGTTCCTGTGCAAACTTTGAAAATTATCGATCTAGACCACGGGTTGCGCATTCGATGGCTAGAGATGGTGGGGCTTTTTTGCACTTAAATGCCCGCCCCCAGCACTGCTAATCATGTTGTTTTCCAAATCACCCCCAGCAAACAGGTATGTGTCGATAGTTTGGCGTCGTTTCGTTTCTTGTCGTTTCGTTTTTCCTGGGCGCCGGCGGCGGCCACGAGCTGTTCGGCGAGGCGGGCAGGACGAGGACGGCATCGCAGGCGCGCCACCACCTCCGGGCTCCCGGATTCACTAGACGCCGACGTTGATTCGCTAGATGCCGACGCGAAGACGAATCAGGACGACGCCCAGACTAATCTGAATCAGTTCGTACGTGAGTATCCTCCTGTTCTTACGTGAGTCCGGCATGGAGTCGTTAGCTTGTTCATGTCATACGTGAGTCTGATGCTCATCTCATACGTGAGTCTGTAGGCGGAGGAGACTCGTCAAGAGTTGTGCTGTGAGTCTGCGCCGCCGCTGCCATGGAGTCCGGCGTGCGTGACGTTGCCGTTGATGCCGTCATCGCCGTTGATCCCGTCTCCGTCGAGGCCGCCGCCATGGATCAGGTTGTTGATGCCGTTGTCGCCGTTGATCCCGTTTCCGCTGAGGATCATGCCGTCAATGACGCCGGAGTTAGAGCCCACCTTGAACATCCAAGCACACCACGGCCAAAATCTTTTCCGAGTACAGCAGTAAGATCCAAGGAACATTTGAAGCCAATGGTTGGAATGATCTTTGATACACTCGTAGATGTGGAGGAATTTTACAAGTCGTATGCACATGAAGCTGGTTTCTCAGTTCGTGTTGGTCAGCACAAGAAGCAAAATGAGGAAATATTATTTAAGAGGTATTGTTGTTCAAGGAAAGAATATAGAGAGGAGAACGTAACAAATGTTAGTGATGATTCTAGGAAAAAAAGAAAGACACATAATATGATGGAAACCAGATGTGGTTGTGAGGCACATATTGTCGTCAAGCTTGGTAGCGACAAGAAGTATCGAATATTTTCAATGGTTGAGAAACACAGCCATGGTTTTGTGTCGCCAGATAAGAGGCATTTGCTAAGATCCAACCGTAATGTCAGTAAGAGGGCAAAGAGTGCTTTGTTCAATTGTCATAAGGCTAGCATTGGCACCTCACAGGCATATCGACTTCTTCATGTCAGTGAGGGTGGGTTTCAGAATGTTGGGTGCACACTGATGGATTTGAAAAACTATTACCGTGACCTCAGAACTAAAATCAAGGATGGAGATGCACAAATGTTTGTGGCACAACTTGAGCGAAAGAAGGAAGTAAATCCAGCCTTCTTTTATGAGTTTACGGTGGATGAACAAGGCCGACTTGTTCGCGTATTTTGGGCAGATGCTTTATGTAGGGAAAACTATAGTGTTTTTGGTGATGTGGTTTCGGTAGATGCAACATATACCACCAACCAGTATAACATGAAATTTGTGCCATTCACTGGAGTTAATCATCACTTGTAAAGTGTTTTCCTTGGGGCAGCATTCTTAGCAGATGAAAAGATCGATTCATATGTATGGTTGTTTAACACCTTTCTTAAGGCTATGGGTGGAGTAGCACCTCATCTAATCACAACCGATGAAGATGCGAGCATGAAGGCTGCTATTGCTCAGATTCTGCCAGATACAGCTCATAGACTTTGCATGTGGCATATCATGGAAAAGGTATCTGAGAAGGTGGGGCCCTCTATAAGAAAAAATGAAAAGTTTTGGAAAATACTAAACAAGTGTGTTTGGGGGACCGAGAATTCAGATGATTTTGTGTCACAATGGAATGCTATCATAACAGATTATGAACTCATGGGAAACGATTGGTTTTCCACTAGGTTTGTCATTCGCGACTCATGGATTCCGGTATACTTTTTGGACATACCTCTAGCAGGAATGCTTAGGACTACATCACGATCGGAGAGTGCAAATTCTTTTTTTAACCGTTTCATTCGTAGAAAGTTGACCTTTGTTGAGTTCTGGCTAAGGTTTGACACAGCTTTGGAGTGCCAGCGCCAAGAGAAATTGAAAGCTGACAATACAAGTCTTCACACCACTCCTAAATTGATGACACCATGGGCCATGGAGAAGCAATGTAGTCTGATATATACACATGAAGTTTTCAGTAAATTTCAGGAACAAATCTTAGCTGCAAGAGACCATTGCATTATTCAAGGTATTTCAGAGTGTGCAGATATAAAATGTTTCACCATCAGCAACCAAACTGGAAAAGATCGACTTGTTCAAATGAACAAGTTGAACATGTTTGGTAGATGCTCCTGTAAATTATATGAGTTTTATGGCATCCAATGTCATCATATCATACAAGTGCTTAGAGCCGAGAAGCAAACTGAGATACTATCGTTATATATAATGAAGTGATGGGAGAAAAGATGTAAAAGGTGTGTACTTATTTTTTTCCCTCTCTGTTCACCTATATTTTCTGTTTTGTACAATAGTCTTGATCGGATCTTCAATTTTATAGGGAACTATTTTTTGATGAGGAAGGTAACCTACTAGATCAAAAGCCTAAAGATCCTATGGAGGTGGCCTTGCGGAAAAAGATTTCAGATTCACGCAACAAGTTTGAAGATCTTATTCAAATGGCCAAGAGCTCTGAACAAGGGATGGACTTTTTATATTCTAGTTTATTCAACCTAATAGAGCCTCTCCAAAAGATCATGCCGCTATGAGAGTTGAAAAACAGAATGAATATGAATCTTTCCTTGGTAGTAAAATTCCAAAAGAGGTCGATATACATCCACCAAATGATGTCAACTCAAAAAGGAGATGCAAAAGAATTAAGAAGAGCAAGAAGACGAAGGAGAAGAAGGCTGGAAGTAAGGGTAAAGGTAAACGGACGTGTCGAAAATGTAAGCAAGAAGGGGATCATGATGCACGTAATTGCCCAAACAATGTTGTTGGCTGATATTTCAATTGAACAATTTACTCTTGTGCTTCTTGGAAACACTGCAATGTACTTTGGATTTTGAGTTCACTGCAATGTACGACTGTACCATGCTCCTTTTTTTAATTGCAGTTCGAGTGTACCTGCAATATGACCTTGTGGCTGAAGCCATAGTTCAGAAGAAGAATTTAGTTAACCATTTTCTGTGAACTCCTTTTGAAATGCACAAGATACTAGTTTATTTTCAATTCTGTGACTCAACTGAACTGAACTCAACTGCACGAAAAATTGCAAAGCACTTTCGATGAAAAAATAGACTGAAATTGCAAAGGTACTAGTTTATATACTTCGTCATCTTCTATGAGTACATTCAATTTCAAGAAGTACAGTCAGACACACTGTAGAACCTAGTGTTCATGTCAATGATATTCAGAGCTTCAGAGTTCAGACCATCTCGTCCGCCGAGACTCTCTCCCGCAGGTAGCTGGCGTTGGCGAAGCAGATGGGCGCGTCGACGCGCAGGACGAGCACCCTCGGCGTGGCCGTGGCCGTGTATGCATTAGTCCATCCTCCCAGACGCCGCCATGAGCCCGCACACCTTGCCGAGGGCCGTGGTCTCGGGGGCTGACGGAGAGCAGGACCCCGAGCACTAGCGCTGGCGTCCATCCATTGCTGTTGGCGAGAGTCGCAGCCAGGCAGGAGCAGCAGAGGAGGAGCGGCGAGGGGGGAGGGTGGCCCGTCGTCGAGTCGCGGGCACGCGGCGGTGGGATCTCGCCTGCGTCCGATGGAAAAGACGAACGGGCGGGGCGATAACATGGACCTGTTTGCTGGGTGCGCTGCGATTAGAGGAGGGGTGATTTGCAAAACAACATGATTAGCAGTGCTGGGGGTGGGCGTTTAAGTGCAAAAAAGCCCCACCTCCATCTCTAGCCATCGGATGCGCAGCCTGTGGTCTAGATCGATAGCTTCCAAAGTTTACACAGGAACATGGTTTCCACCTGATCCAGGGCCTTTAATTTAATTTCTAGTTGCCGTAAGCTTTTGCGCGCGGGGCAGAAAATGGAATCGAATGAGACGCCATGCCACATTCATTGTGTTGTTGAAAAGGAAAAAAGCTGGCCTAGCAGTACCATCGTGAATTCATGAGCACGTCAAGGCCGGGTTGCGTTTCGTCAAAGGTGCTACCCTCATTTTCCTAAACCAAAGTGAAACAATGTTGACGTGATTTCGTTTCGTGGGGTCCAAGTGTCCAACCTTTACCAATCCATTTGATGCCTTGTTTGCTCGTATAAGCCATGACTGAAAGTATTATTGTCTGATTTATTATGAGAGAAAAATAATATTTATTAGCAAAAAAAAAAAATACTGCTTATAAATCAAGCTAACTGGGCGTTGGAACGAAGCTGCCAGCATTTGTATTTGTGTGTCCAGATGGAGACACGTCCATTTATGTACCGAGGTTGGTTTTTTTGACACCAAAAGGTACAAGACAAAACCATCACCTAGTTAAGGCTTCACCAACGCGAGGAAAGAAAAGTGTTGGCTTCAGAAAAGTATCAACCTCTACATAGGTACAGGTAAATTCATGAAATTTGAGAATTTGGTTACTGTAGTATTTTTGTTTTTATTTGTTAATTAGTGTTCAATTATAGACTAATTAGACTCAAAATGTTCGTCTCGCAATTTCCAACCAAATTGTGCAATTAGTTTTTTTCATCTATATTTAATGCTCCATACACGTATCACAAAATTCAATGTGATGACTATCATAATATTTTTTGGAAATCTTTTTAAACTAAACACAGCCTTTAGTAGGCACATGCTCCAACTTGCCACAGCCTGCAAAAAAGCTGACAGTACTTTTCTTTTGCTATCTCTTGTAGAGACATTCTCTCTCCTGTGGGTATAGTAGCCTCTGCAGGTCAGCCCTTGATTAGTTGGCGGAAACTTTTTTATAAATGTAAATGAAAAAAACTAATTATATAGTTTAGTTTAGAAGCTAAAAAATTAGCCCTAATCACCGTATTATAATAGCTAAATTTCTAACTGAAACACGAGCTCCTACACATGCAGGGACATTTTTCATGTTCATCAAGCCCAGTTGGCCTGACAAAGCTACATAGGAAGTCACTGCGTTGGCACCGCCTCATGACTAGAGGCAGCAGTAGGACTATAACTCTACGTGACGTTGCATCTTACCTATTGGATTGAACATTACTGTGAATAAGGTTCCGTTTAGTTCCAAATTTTTTTGCCAAATTATTTAGATTTCTTTTCTGTCAAATGAAGTATTAAATATAAATAAAAATAAAATTAATTATATAGTTTTCGAAATTCACGAGATTTAATCTTTTAATTCGAGAAGAGAAAGCTGCTGGTGGGACTCTTTTCGTCCTGCTAGAGAAATAAGCGCCCTATTTATTTGGGCTTGTTTTAGAAGTGTGAAAAAAGTTAGATGGTTCTTATCCTAATAATTTTATCAAACAAGTTTTTTAAGAGATAATTCTGATTCCATTGGTGAAAAATAGTTTCTCCTAATTTTATAAAGTAATTCTCCATGGTGGTTTTAAGAATTTACAGTAAAGAATAGAAGAGAATCACTTCTCTCGTACGATCATTCCATTAGATTAAGGCCCGGGTTAGTTTCCAAATTTTTTTTGTCTTCTACAGTAAAAGAGCATGTTTAGACACATGCATGAAGTACTAAATGTATACGAAAAAAACTAATTGCACAGTTCTCGGCAAAATCGCGAGACGAATCTTTTAAGCCTAATTAGTCCATGAAAAGTCTTAAGTGCTACGGTAACCCACATGTGCTAATGACCGATTAATTAATATCATTAAATTTGTCTCGCAGTTTCCTGATGGGTCCTGTAATTTGATTTTTTATTAGTATCCAAAAATCTCTCCCAATATCATTCTGACACATTCAATGTGACACCCAAATATTTTCACTCCCCAACTAAACACACCCTGAAAAGGAGCTCTGCCAGACCTTGAGGCGTCCCCTGAGCAGGCATGATCCAAACACACCGTAGCATGGGCTGGGCTGGGCTAGGCCGGAAATGTGAAAATCCATTGCACTTGGTGCTCCGCCGCGCGGCCGCGCCTCAGGCCCCAGCTGCTGATGCACCAGACCGCCTTTGCGCCGCAGCCCACGGATCGGCGCTTCTCCTCCCCGCCGCGCATCCCATGGCGCCGCCGGTCGCCGGCGTCGTGCGTCTCGCCGCGGCCTCCCGCGTGTTAGTCCTCTCCCTCTACCTGCTCGCCCGCCTCCTCTTCCGCCCCTACGACACCTCCGCCACTCTCCACCCACCCTGCCTCTCCTCTCCCCCCTTGTCCCCGGATCCCAACACGCCCGTCTCCACCGCTATCTCGTCGCTGGCCGTGTGGGACGGCGTCCACTTCGCCCGCCCCGCGGAGTGCGGTTACGAGTACGAGCAGTCCTTGGCCTTCCTCCCGCTCCTCCCCGCCTCCCTCGCGCTCCTCGCACGATCGCGTAAGCCCGCTCGTCGCACTTCCCTGCCTCGCCTTCGTTCGGATGTCAATTTGTGCGCTTTATCTGATCTGGTTGTGGTGATTAATCCTTCTCCCGTGCAGTGTTCGCGCCGCTAGTGCCGATGCTAGGGTACAGGGCCGTGCTCGTGCTCTCCGGCTATGTCCTCAACAACGTCGCATTCGTTGTTGCCGCGGCCTACTTCTACAGGTGTTCGTCGTCTGATAGACTTTACTGTTTTCGTGTTCACGCAGATTGTCACTGTTTCTATGCGTTAGATGAACTCTAGTACTACAGTTATGCACCTATTTGAGGGTTATTTGTAGCCAATTATTGGTTCTGTTGGGTTCTCCAAACATTTCGGTGGCGTTTGGATAGCTGCTGAGTTTGGGTTGAGGAAATGAGATGGGTTATGATGGAGTAGGTTTGGGTTAGGGTTATAGAGTTTTTATCCCATTCCCCTGTTTGGATAGGATAAGTTAGTTACAACAGAAAAAAAAACAGAGCATATTTCTTCCTGCTTGCTCGTGTTGTTTTTCGCTCATCCAAAATCTTCTCTTCCCTATCTTCCTGTTTGCTTTTGTTGCTTTTCGCTCATCCAAAACCAAGTAGTACCAAACAGCAGTAGAAGCAACGCTGCAAAATCCAATAGAATCCATTAAAAAACAAAGAAAAAATGGAGAACGCTCAACCAGGCCGCACGGATACGAATACTGGCCTTATCTGTTCAGATGCGCAGAGTCCTTCATGGCTTCACCAATCACCAGAGGAGCGCTCGACCCGCAGCATGGGTGCGGTGGCGGGATGAGCTCCGCGCCACACTGCAGGGGGCTGGGATGCAAATCGCGTCTTCGGTGGCCCTCGCGACCTACGAGCAGCGGCTCCCAGAGTTCCGCGCAACGAGGCTGAGGCATGCCGCAGACGCGGCTCCGGCAGCTGCGCGACGAGGCGAGCAGTTGCTCCCGGTCCCTTCTAGCCTCGAGGAGAGCCGAGCCGCTATCGATGTTGAGAGGAGCGGGAGGAATCGGCGTCGACCGTCGCCGTCAACAGCCAAGAGGCTTATCCAGATCGTAACCCACCCCTCTCCATGGGATAGGATCACTGGGAAATAGGGTCTGCATTTCCCTATCCCTTACCCCCTTTATTTCCCTTTCCCACAAACCAAACAAGGGTTGTGATTTCCACCCTACCCCATATCCCTATCCTCACCTCCATATCCCACGATCCAAACGCCACCTTCGAGATTTGACTACGCTTGAGAGCATTGCACACTGGAATGCAGTAGCTGTGTTTCCTACACTTTATTGGCGATGCCAAGTCAGTGCTTTTGCGCAGTTCAAGAGCTGGTGTTCTTTGGTTGATAATATTTGGTGAGGTGCTTGTGGACTGAACTGGGCCCTTCTGTGGTGATGATTAGTTTCTTCTTGCCTGTTAAACTATATTCTGGTAGTTGTACTGCAAAAGCAATCATTTGAAGTTTAGCGCAATCTGTTTCTAGCGTTTTTGTTTTTTGAAAGAAAGGTGGCAGGAGGCTCTGCCTATTCGCTTAAGATAGAAAGCAAATTTTTAGTGAAAATTTATCCTGAGCTGCCAATGCCAGGAGGAGTGAGGCCTCCGGAGCACACAAGATGAAAAGAACACAGAAAGAAAAAAGTGCCCAAAGCAGTGAACACAACTACTCAGACACAAAACCCCCCGTGTCTCCTTTGCACTTGTCTTGTTTACATATCCTTTGTCGGTGACCTCTGATGGCACGAGGCTGGCATGCTGGAAGATGCAGCAATTTCTTTCTTTCCAAATGTTGATTCCATTGAAGAGTTTTCTACTCGCTACAAGCCTACAAGTTTGCAGTTTTTCACTATTCTTGATACTATCTGATCGTATGGTCATAAATGTCGAAAGTTAGACCAACCCTTTCTGAGCATCACTGCATTACTAAGGCAACTACCAATTCTTGTTGGTGCAGATTGTCTGTGCTAATTTTGAAGGACCAGAAAGCAGCTTACCGAGCATCTGTTCTGTTTTGTTTCAACCCTGCTTCTGTGTTCTACTCATCATTGTAATATTCTTTTCCTTCACCAACACAAAGAAAGAAACTCATGAATTTGGCATATCATAACAGATAAATTGTTGTTTTTGGCAGGTATTCAGAAAGTCTTTATGCACTTTTTTCTCTTGGAGGCATGTTCTACCTGTTTTCGGGTGCTCATACTGTTGCAGTGATAATGCTCGCTCTGTCTGGTTCAGCTAGGTCAAATGGAGCACTTAATGCTGGTTATTTCTGTTTTCAGGCTTTGCTACAAGCATATGATGCCGCTGTCCAAAAGAAAAGGCCGTTGGTATGTTCTACTTCAGTTATTAACTTATTATTATGAATAATAGTATTTGGCATGAAGAGACTAAATGACATACCATATTGCATTAAATTATCCTTCATTTCCATAAAGAAGCCATCAGCAAAGACATACTTGTTTAGTAACTTCTCTTTGTTTTGGCCAGTTGGCGATGCAGGCCCTTGTGATTGGAGCTTTGTGCTCCATTTTCATATTTGTACCTTTCTTTGCTTTCCAAGCATATGGATATTTGAACATATGCGTACATGGGAGCTCAGAGGAATTGAGGCCGTGGTGCAAAGCAAAAGTTCCCTTGTTGTATGGATTCATTCAGAGCCACTACTGGTAATTGTTTCTATATAAAAATAGTTAGAATTGGTATTGGCATAATAATCTGTCAAAACTAGCACCTCTTCATCCTTTTTGCTTACCTCTGGAATTAGACTATGGTAGTCTTGCATCACTGTATGATTATATGCTGGCTCTATGCATACTTTGATTGATGTTTTTTTTGTAGCCATAAGAAATACATATTGGATACATATTTCATGGAATTTGACTTGCTTCTTCATTCACCCTAAATTCTATTGCACGTGCCTGGTGGCATAGTCCTTTGCTTATGCCGAACCATGTTGTATAACACATCTGCTGGGATGAACATTGGGTACACTATGGAAACCCCATCCTCCTTTGTGTTACTTTAAATTCTATTGAAATATTTGTCTGTTCACCATTTCTCAAGGATGTCGATGTTGTATGAGTTCTCTCTCATAAGATAAACATATTTTGTCTCTCTCTAGCATCCTTAAGTCTTAACTCTTAACTGCTCCTTATAAGTTACTTATGGTTTCTTTTTAGGGGAGTTGGTTTCTTGAGGTACTTCCAAGTGAAGCAGCTGCCGAACTTTCTCTTGGCTTCACCAGTACTTTCTCTTGCGGTTTATTCTATTGTCCATTACACAAAATTGCTTCACCGACTTCTCCAAACAACTACCATCCACAAGCAGATTATCACTGCTCTGGAGGAAAGGTCAGTTGTGTCATATAGAAGATCCGATGATGTGACAATTTTGAGTGAGCTTTCTGCTGGCCTCACTAAGAAAGCACAAGGTGCTATTGCAATCTCAACAATCTACATTTTGCTTTGCTTTGAGAGGCTATCTTGATGTCAAGTCTATTTGAACTGACCTAACATTTTTTTTAAAAAAAATTGCATGTATTTTTTTATATAGTGAGAAGCGTACAATATTGAAGTGATCTGTAGATACACCTTTTTTTTTAGAAGAATAGCAGGGCATAAAGGCTTTAACCTTACAATATTTCTTGGACAGGAAACTCTACGGTTAAACAGAGAAAATCAGTTGCCACCGAGAAATCTTCTGCAACGTTCCATGATACCATGTCCCCTAACCAAAATATGGAAGAGAATCAGGATGCATGCTCCATATTACTACTTCCATTCGTTCTGCATCTGGTCTTCATGACATTCACAGCCTTCTTTGTGATGCATGTCCAGGTTAGTATATGATCTTCCTCATTAAGGCAAAGCTTATCTGAATCCATGGCTTGCATACCAACTTCCGTTCATTTTATGCAGGTGTCCACACGGTTTCTATCTGCTAGTCCGCCGATTTACTGGGCTGCTGCGCACATTTTGGCTTCTCCGAGCCGCTCCTCCAAAAGATGGGGCTACTTGATTTGTGTCTATTTCATCGCATACATTCTCCTAGGTTGTCTGCTTTTCTCCAACTTCTACCCTTTCACGTAAGAACGCCGGGGGACCCCAGATGCGTATCTGAATCCAATAGTGAGCACTGCTGCAGTGGTTGTCTGCATTGCCCATCTGTTTATCAGGTGGATTATCTCTACTAGTTGGACGGACCTGAAGGTTTCCCTAGGTAGGTGCTTCCCTGGTTCAGCAATATTGTGCGTTGACTACTTGACTCGCTAATGTATCCTTACATATGTGGGGTACGTATATTTTTCTTGCATCGGGTTATGAAGGGGCCACTAGCTTTAGAATCAGAAGGTGGAGATGCAAAAGACAGCATCAGTGCGAACGGATTTAGGGCCTGTTTGGTTCACCTAGTAACTTCTAAATTTAGTAGTTTTTAGTCTTTTAGTAACTTTTTTTTGTCAAACACTGTGACTAAATGTGACTAAAAGGGCTTTAGTCCTCTCCAGGAACTTAGGAGTTACTAAAAGTGACTAAACCATTTAGTAGCTCCTAAAATTTAGTAGCCCAAACCAAACATGCCCTTAGCTGAGCTTCAAACTCCAGCTCGCTCCAAATAATCTCGATGCGCACACACGGTGATACGTATCTGTTCTCAGTTACCAACCTGTTCCATGAATGAATATGATCCAAAAACACGTCATAATCTCCCGTTCCTACACAGGCTCGTTTTCCTAATAGCAACATGTATGCTAATATCCTGGGGATCGATCTTCGCCAATTATTTAATGACACCATCTTTCTCCATTTGACGAAATAACGCCTTTGGATTCATAAGTCTTCGTTCGTTTTCATCCACAGACCATCCAAAGACTAGCTATATATATAAATATAAAAATGTCCATGAAAAGCAGTTGGCCATCGTTGTCCATGGATGCTCGTTAGCTAGCCAGCAGCGTCGCCATCGACTTTGCTAATATAATAATCAACTGATGGTGACTCCGATCCAACAAACGACAGACAGAGGTGCAGCGCTCATCAGCTAGTATGTTGCATGCCGTATATACGATCATCATCTCCAAGTCTCCATGAAGAGCAGTGGTGCTGGCGTGCTGCCAGGAATCGATGACACGAGGGGTTATTAGTTCTGGTTGCTGCGAGTTCTTAATAGTGTGAGAGTTGCACGTTGTTCCTTCAATTGGCGAGTTGGTTATTAACTAATCCCATCTTTTCTTTTTTGTTCAGTTGGCGAGGTGGCACTCGATGGCCAATCGATTCACCTAATTCGTTATCTGTTCACCCTACACAAAAAGAGCAGTGCCGGTCGTTATCGAGCGCTCGACAGGTGCCTGCCTGCTTGGTTAAGCATGCACGCAGACGAAACGAAACATTGGAATCCGATGCAGGGAAAGCTGCAATTAAACTACTACACCAATCTAGACCATGGATCAATTGCGCTTTGGAATCCACACAAAGCGAGCAAATATCGGAAACATACTCCCTCCATTCCTAAATAACTGTCGTTATTGGTGTGCGTGCTGAAAGTTTGACTTAATTTGTAAAAATACGTACAACATTTGTATCTCTAAATAAATTTATTAAAAAACTAGATTTAAAGTTCTTTTCAATGATACTTATTATGTATCATAAATATTAATATTTTTTAATATATATTTAGTCAAAGTTGTTTTCCGAAAAACAAAAACGAAAGATATTTAGGGACGGAGAGAATATTACTTTTGATGAAGCATACTGGGAGTCAGTAGCGGACCCAGATAAACGGAGGAGCCTGGGCGATGCACCCCTGGCAGGCACTCCCTGCCTCTCGTAACCATGCTCAGGCCCTGTTTGTTTGAGTTACTTTTTCAACTATGAAATAATATTTTTCTCTCGTAACATTTCAACAAGCATCAGCATAAGCTAAATTTTAGCATAAGCGAACACGACCTTAGCAAATTGGGCCTCCAGAGACGGCACGTGCAACTCATATCTTAAAGAGAAACTAATTTCACTATTCAGGCCTTAGTTCCAGCGCTACTGTTGCATGGTGAAAAGGCTAAGGACTTTTTTTTGGCACGCCTCAAAAATGGCTCCAACTTCTCTGACAAATCTACTGTAGTATCACTGTTGAGATACCGTAGTGTGAATTCGTTGAAGCCGTTTGCAGGTTCACTCTTTTCATTCTTCCTTGGAAGAGGACTATTTGAACTATCGAGTTGTGGTCAAAGTCTGATTTTTGTCATCCAACTCGCAAAAACTAGATATCTTTCATTGTCGAACTATAGAATCATTAGAACAAATTTAGCCCTTCCCTGGTAATCTCTAAAAACTCATAACAAATTCCTTTTAATATATATATATATATATATATATATATATATATATATATATATATATATATATATATATATATATATATATATATATATATATATGGAGAGGCTATTCTGTAGCTAGGTATAGAATTGCTTATTTTGTAGCCGGACCAAGTTATCGCACCAGACAGACCCATCCGTGCCAACCGGCGCAAGCGCGCGAGCATTTACCGGATCGGGAGTTACTGCTGGGTAGATGCCCAGCGTGATTTTGGATCTGGCGAGCTGCCGTGTGCATGCATGCAGGAAATATAGTGGAATGAGTGGTTACGAGAATACATGAATTACCATACCGAGAGCATACAAGTGAATTAGCGTATGCATGCACCGTGCAATAAACTATTGTATATGGACTATGGTAAATAGATAAGATATTTAGGTAGTTGCCAGAATACCGTATGCGAAATATTCTTGTTACCAGAATACAACATACCTTAAAATAGTAAGGTTACGAGAATACTATTGTCCGCGAAAAATAGTAAAGAATATATTCTAGTAAATAGGAATGGGTTACGAAAATACTCTACATGCACGCTATGGGCTAACTGAAGAGTAGTATACAAGTTGAACTAATGTAATTGTTCATGTGTTACGAGAATTTGAGCACAGTGACTAAACCAATTTTGTCATAAGCTGATTAAAATAATTTGAATGTCTCGGACAAAATTAGCATTAAGAAAAGATTTACCGTAATTTCATGGACAAGTTACTATATTACTGCATATTTACGAAAATTCTGTTTACAACAATACTAATACTATTTACAAGAATTTGCACTAATAATATTTACGAGAATTGCTACTCGAGAGCGATTGGATGCGTGCTTCAATTTCACGAGAAAAAAACAGGACGTCGTCTCACATGATCTTGCCACCATAGAAGATAGAATCTCTGGCCGCCGCCTCCTACATCAGTCATCAGAGCGCTACTGCTTGAGCCCGACATCAGGGAGTCACCGGTGAAGGTGTGGACCGGCTTGTCAACGATCGAAGCAGCGCCGCCGGAACAAAAGGACAGGCCTGGCTGTTGGGTACACCCCGCCGAGACCTGCCGCTGATGAGGACCCACCGCCGTCACTACTAGTCAGACACCATCGATTCTTCTTTGGATGTGCGAATGCGTAATCGCAGCGACATCCCGAGGTGTGCCTGGCGCACGCCATTGCACTCGCCTCCCGGCCGCACCACCGGGGGCCGCCATCTCCACTGGACGTGCCGCGCCATCACCAGGGCGTGCCATGCGCGCGAGTTGAGGGTGCGCTGCAACCGCCACCACCAGGGCGTGCCATGCGCGGTGAGTCGAGGGTGCGGTGCCACCGCCGGGGCGCGTCGTGCACGCGGAAAGAGGATGCGCCGCCACTGCCGGAGCGCATCGTGCGACGACTGCCGAAGCGCGTCGTTCGCACGGATCGAGGGTGCGCCGCCGGCTAAGTGTCGCCGGTAGGGGAGAGCAGTTCGTGCTCGACGGCAACCACTGCACCTCCCCTGCTCCTCGTGCTTGAGGCGGAGCCTGGTGTACCGGTTGGTCGGCTGCCGCTGCGCCAGCGCCCGCCGTAGGAACGCGTCGCTGCCGCCCACCTCCTGCCCTCGTCGCTCCCCACAACAGATCGCCCCGGCAATCCGTCGCCGTCAAGACGGCGCCTCCGCAATATCCCGAGGTCTGTCTGCCGGCGGCCGGCAAGCGTGGGAGAGGCGTCGGCCGACGACGCAGCGCAGTAGAGGAGGCAGGCCGCGAGGGCCACGATCTGCGATGGTGCGGACGTATCTGAACAGGACCCAATCTAGATTTTTCTCTGGAGAGATGGAAATAAGCGTAATTTTTGGGTTAATTAATGGGCTAATATTTATTGTCTTTACTGATGCCGTCTTTACTAGTGCGGTGGGTGAATGGATGGAGCTGGGTGACGCTCGGGCTCGAGATCTGACTCGGATATAGAATACGTTATTTTGCAGCCAGCCATAAAGTAGTAGTTCTCTCTCTCTATATATATATAAGTTGTTAGGTTTTAGTTAGAGTAAAAATGTGCTTATAGGTTACCTGTTGACATCATCATTTTCAACTCACTGTCGGATTTTGCTTCTTGTAGAGGTCCTAAGTCTACATGCCTATCTAGTCA